TTTTTTGCATAGAGTTTAGGAGTCTATAAATCTTGACAGGGACTGAGGGTCTCACCTTCCTTCTGCATAGCTTGGTGGGTTCCATGAAAAGCCCAGTATTTAAGTCATTTCCACCTCCTGACAACTCTCCATCAGGTTTTTGGCACTATAAACCTTCACTGAAGGAGGCTGCCTATCTTTTTATCTCACATTGGTTGGATTTGAGCCTGTGACCTTTGATTAGCAGTCCAGCCGTTAACCTGACACATAGTAGGCTATAACGAAATAGATGTTAGTTAATTGGGTACTGACCATGACAAAAGGGAACCATGCACACGGTTTCCGACTCCTTCATCTCACTTCCTTTGAGTCTCTTGCCCTGGCTTCAAGGCACATATCACTTGTTAATCAAATTGTTAAACAGTTTGTGTTGGCATGGAACTGTTTTACCTTAAAAGCAGTCTTGTCCTTACGTTCCACACTTAGCCTTTTATTCAAGAATTGAGTCCTACAATCTCCTCAGAGTGACTTTCTTTACTAGCTAGTATGCTATTGTTCTTGACTTCTGTTAAGTCAGAACCGACCCATTGCTGACACTCTGGTGACTTTTCTGTGGCAGGAAATCAAACCGGAGGAGATTGTCCATCTTTCTCCCAGCTGAAGGATTCAAATCATGCATTTTTTTATTGGTAACAGAATTCCTTACCACTCATTAAGCCATCAGAGCTCCCTACTATCTAATATATTATCAGACAGGTTTTTTAAGCCCTAAGAACTTGGACATATGGAGTGAATGAAGGGATAGATGAATGAATGAATGAATGAATGAATGAATGGATGAGTAAAAGCTAGATAGATGTCAGTTCCCTAGACTCTAGTTATTTTGTTCTCCTCCATTCTATTTAGCACATGGTTATGCATATGTGCACTTTAAGATTAAACTTAACTCCTTGCCATTGAGTGGAAACCAACATAGCTGATCTTCCATGTGTTTCCAAGGCTAGGCCATGAATCTCATGTGAGGAATCTGCCCAGCTTTCTCCCACAGAGCTGCTAGTGGATTTGAACTGGTACAGAAGCATGGCCTTTAGCTTTAGAAGCACAACTCTGTACAGGATTTTCCTTGATTTACCTTGATGAAACTAAATGTCTTACCTGTGGATGAAAATATTCTATTAAAATGTGATTTTTTTTCCTCTTTGTTTTATTTTTCATTATCTTGCCTTTCTAGAACCAAACATTTTTCTATTTTCTGTTTATTTACATGTAAAACTCCCATTACAGTCTTCCTTGTGGCTTTGTAGATATTCAAATGAAGGTGCTTAAGTATGCATAACTTCACATTTGTGCATTTTAAAAAAAATTGTTTCAGCTTAATGTGAACTTTTTCTCAATTTTATCATATCTTTTCCCCAATTTATTAACATTCTCCAGTCCTGTCAGCTACATGCTGGTTCATGAAGAGTCTCCCCACCCACTCCCTTCACCTAGAGACTCTTTGCTTCAAGTAATTGGCAGACCACATCTTTGCCAGCACAACCAGGTTAGATTGATAGACAGGTTAGAAAGCTTTGTTAGCACTATCAGAAAGTCAACATGGTGAACCAGATGCTAAAATGTTGTCTAGAAGCACTCATCAATTTTCTTTGATGCATTTCTTCTTTATCTTCTAACAAAGCCTTTCCTATAAAAACTTTTTTGTTGCAATTTGTACTACAGACTATTGTTAAGGAATGCGTAACCAGGAATACATTTTGCTTTCTGTCATAAATGTGTTGTCTGTACATAATCCATATATAAACAAACTGAATTTTGACAACCATAATCTAGAATTGATTTATCACACACCTGTCTCTTTATACTTTAAAGACACATCAGACAATATAGCACATTCTGTTGTTAGTAGTACAAATGTCCACAAATATCCCCATCTCAAGGACTATGTAAAACAGTCAAGGCTGCTCAAATCAAACATGTTGAAATGTATCTCAGTGACTAAATGGCTGATATGTGTTTAAGAGAAGTCCCGGGGCACATTGACTGAAAAGTCAGCTGTTCAAATCCACTAGTCCTTCTATGAGAAGAATATTTGGCAGTTGCTTCAATAGAAAATTTACAGCATTGGGAACCCTCTGGGACAAATCTGTTCTATCCTACAGAGTCACCATGGATTAGAATAAAAAATAAATATATGTAATTATATTTACCCTTTCAATTTAATTCCACAAGAACTTATGGAACATTAAAAGAAACTTTAACAAAATATAGATCTTCTCTTGTCTCATTAATAGTATAGGATACTAATTTGTTTCTAGTAAGTGAAAACACTAGTTCTTTTCAGTATATGGATTTCTCTTACACCAAAGTTTTTTCACTTTAGAAATCAATAGTTGATTTTTTATAAGTAAATTTTTTGCATAGTATCTCTAGTTCAGCTTTCTAATTTGTAGTAAACCTGTGTTTTGTAGCTTTTCATGTTAATTGTGGCATTTAATGTATTATGTATTTCTGTCAGCTGAAAAATGTGATGGATATGTCTTTTTCTCTGCCCAGGCTGTTGAAAAGAATTAGATAGTGACAGTGACAGTTGCATAGAAAGTGCCACAAGAGACTTCTGTCTTTCTATTCACAGCATCACTGATTGTTTGCCCTGAAGAGAACTTAGTTGAAATGTCTCCCAGGAGAAACAATAAAATGAATCTAATGAGAACTCTAATAGAGGAATACTGAAAACAATAGTTTATAAAATTTTATTTTATGTTGGTTTACTTACAATGATCATATACATAGTGTTTCACACTATTCTTCATTGACATTGTGTTTAATGCAATCATTCCCATGCATTATGTTATATAAAATCGATCATTGTTGGACCATGCCCATGGCCATCGTTACCCTGTCTTTTCAGGTCCCTGCTGGGTCCTTCACATTTACTTTATCCTCTCCCTCCAATCACCAATTTGTGCAACCGTGTGGTTTCACTCTCATTCATCCTCAGCCCTTTGCTCCCACCCCTTCCCCCCTTGGGTCCCTATCCATGTTTTAATTGAAAGTCTTATCACTAGATCCAGATTCATGTTCTATTTGTAGGAAAGATAATTTCTACAAGGTAAGAGTAACAATACTGGTTTGTTTCTATTGGACAAAATGAGTGTATTGACATTTCAGTTAGTCTTATTGGGCAACTTCTGGTTCTCGTTTATACCTGACTTGGTATTTGTTTTACTCACTATACAGTAAATCCATCAGTTGATTATTTTGTTTCATTATTGTTTAAATTCAAATGTGTTTATTTTTATATTTTTACTTTTCAGAGTATTTTTCTCAGCACTTGGGTGAATATGAGAATGTGCTGGCTGCTCTTGAAGACCTCAATCTTTCCATCCTGAAGGCAATGGGGAAAACAAAGAAAGTAAGGGAATATCCATGTTTGCTTCTGTTTAAAATCTCTTCTTTGAAAAGAATATTGTTCTTGTAATTGATATATATGTACTAATTATAAAAGCACCTATATCTTTTATCACCAATAACTTGTTTGTTCTTACTATCAAATGGATCTTTTATTTATTTATGGTTTAATTGTAAAGTCTTTACTATGTGTTGGATAGGATGTTTTGTCCTGAGGATACAAAGATAGATTTTCTTTGCTCTAAGAAGCTTGTAGCCTGGTAATGAGACAGGTAAATAGCAGTATATCATGACAGAGAGAAAAACACAATGGGACATCTATTTCACACAGGAGGACCTAGCACCTGATCGCTTAGAGATAAAGGAAGTTGTTGTCAATTGCTGTCAGGTCATCTACAACTCATGAACAACAGATCTGAACCTTGCCCCATCCTGCACCATTGTCACAGTCTCTGTCATGTTCAAGCCCATTGTTGTAGTCAGTGTGTCATTCCATCTTGCTGAGGGCTTCCCTCTCTTTCTGTGACCTTCACCCTTTCCCAACATGATGTCTTTTTCTAGGGACTGGCCCCTCCTGACAGCGTGCCCGTGCCCGGAGTAGATGAGAGAAAGTGTAACCATCCTTGCATCTAAGGAGTATTCTAGTTACACTTCCTCCAAGGAGCATTGGAAGAAGTAGTTATACTGAATAAAGCAGAAATCGACACAGAGAATAGCTTGGACCATTTTAGGAAAAGAAGATAGTGAGTCTGAAGTCTAGAATCAGAAGGTACCATGACGTGAGATGAAGCTGCCATGGTGCGGAGGGACTACATCTGATATTTTCCAACAAGCTAATTTTTTAGGATTGTATTTTAAATGCTAATAAACCTTTGATTATTTTAAGAAGAGATATGAAAACTCATAAGGTTGTTTTCCTGTTATTTGCATTTATCATCGTTGCTTCTAAAACACTATAGAAGAATTAACTTGAGATTGAGATCTAGAATATAAGAAAACATTGTTGTTGTAGAGTTGGAACCAAACCATAGCTGACACTCTGGTAGATTTTTAGAAGCAGTTAATTACATGGGAGGAGATTGCCCATTCTTGTCCATAGGAGCAGCTGGTGGATTTTAATCAGGTCCCTTTGGGATTGCAGTGCAGCTTCTTGCCAGTAGGCCACCAGGTTGCATAACTTACCAGGATGAAATGTGTTGATGGCTTGGAGATGTTGGCAAAAGCTATGTAGAAAAGCGAATGTAAGATTATATCAATAGAACTCAGAGAAGAACTGAATTGGTGGTGTAGGAGAAAGTTGTTCTTAGGTGTTCTTGAGTGACTCATAGTAATCCTATGAATGACAGGTCAGAACTTGGCCTGTCCTGTGGCATCCTTATAACCTCTGCCATGTTCAAGCCCATTGTTGCAGTCATTGTGTCAATCTGTCTTGTTGAGGGGCTTCCCCTCTTTGACCCTCTACTTTTCCCTGGATGATGCATTTTACCAACAACTGTCATCCCTTGACCGTATTCCCAAAGAATGTGAGGCACATACATTTTAGTGGTCTGTTGTAAAAGAAAGAGATTTCCTAAATCCTACTTTTTAGTTTAGGGTGTTCTGGTAGCTTAGTGGTGAAGAGTTACACTGTCAACTCAAGGTTTGTGGTTCAAATCCACCAACTTCTCCATGGGAGAAAGATAGCCAGGCTCCTCCTGTGTGATTTGTAGTGTCAGTTATGGGTCAGTTCCAACCTAATGGTACACAACACATTTTAGCTTGTGTGCCTGTGTAGTGACACTACAAAGGTAAAAGTTGCGAGAAGAAGACCTAGTTTATAATGGGCAAGGAGTATAGATCTTTTTCTGGGATGTATTGAATGTAGGTTTTTATTGAGACATCCAAGGACAGTTGAATTATCCCTTGGACCTAACAGGAAACATAGATCTAGATCTTAGAGAAGAAGTCTAGAAGTCATTATTAGCATATACGCAAAGAAATAAAGAAATGCCATAAAAAATGCCAGTGAAGAAATGCCATAAAAATCCTGAAGTAAAGTGACTTTCATTCTAAAAGGGGAAAGATGTTAATCTTTTCAAAGTAAAAGTATCAATTAAATGTGAAGGTTAACCTATTTTCAGAAACTCTATATGCATTTTCTCAGGAAACTACGTGCATAGGATAATAGATCAAGGAAGACTTGGGACCTTAAGGAAAAGGAATCAAATTTGGGAGACTCAAAGAGCACCCTATGAATAGTGTGAGTAGAGAGTCCAGTTGAGCACTGGACAGGCAGACCAGATGGAGGAGGTCAGAAGACTGAGAGTCTCCAAAAAGTGAATTGATGGGACTCTTGCTGTTTTAACATATTGTGAAGAAATTTAAAAAGAGCTATTTCACCATAAGCCACAGTGGAAAAATTAGTATATTATACCTACACCCAAAATTTGACTGTATGGATCATAACAAAGGATAGCTAACAATGAGAAGAATTGAAATCCTAGGACACTTTTTTGTGCTCATCTGAAACCCATATCTAGACCAAGAAGCTATTGTGTGGATAGAAAGAATACTACATCGTTTAAAATGAATAAATGTTCATGTCAGGGTTATATCCTGTTCAGTTTGTGTGCTGCATAAATTATTTGAAGCTGAACTCTCTATAGAAGAATGTGATGTGACATGAGGATCAGAGAGAGACTCATCCATAATTGGCATTATACAGATGACACAACATTGCTTGCTGAAAGTGAGGAGGACTTGTGCTTTTTGCAAAAGATCAAAGATTATAGCCTTCAATAGAAGTACATCTCAATGCCAAGAAAACAAAGATACCACTGGACTGATGGGCAGCATCATGATAGATGGAGAAAAGATTAAAACTGTCAATAACTTCATCTTATTGGGATCCACAGTCAGCACCCTTGTTATCTACAGCCAGGAATCAAGAGATGTATTGCATTGAGAAAGTCAAATCATGTAATCAAGGACCTCTCAGAATTAATTGAGGAGCAGTGATAGCAGTTTGAAGACTAAGGTGCACCTGATTCATGGTCTTTGCTGTCACTTGCTATGCATCTGAAAGCTGGACAAAGAATAAGTATGACAGAAGAATTGATGCCTTTGAGTTGTGATGTTGAAGAAGAGTATTGACTATCTCATGGACTGCCAGAGAACAAACAGGTATGTCTCAGACAAGATGCAGCCAGAGTCTTCCTTGGAGGCAAAAGATGACAAAACTTTGTCCCTCATATTTTGGGCATGTTGTTAGGTAGAAGCTGTTCCTTGGAGAGGGACATCATGCTTGGAAAGGTGGAGGATCAGCGAAAGAAAAGAAGGCATGCAACCAGGTGGATCGACACAGTGACAGCCACAGTGGGCTCTGTGTTAGGAAGTGTGAGGATGGCACAGGAGAGAACAGGGTTCAGATCTGTCGTTCATAGGATTACTACAAGTCGTACTTAACTTGACAGCACCTAACAACAACCCTAAAAATTCAAGAAGAAAAAAAATTCAAGAAGCAGCAGCATTGACATGTTTATAAAACAGAAGGACATTTCCAAAAGTAGTACAATGAGGACTTGCCTTTAGAAAACAGAAAATGAAAGGAAGAGTGCAAATGATTACTGTTTTCATAAGGATTCTTTAAGCTGTGTGCCTGTATGGCTTAGATTATTTTTATTTTAAAAAACCACAGGTTATAAAGCCTAGAAAAACAACCAGTTGCCTTTAAGTCTACTCCTTCATAAGGAACATCAGAGTAGAACTGGGTTCCACAGGTTGTCAGGGCTTGATTTTTAATATTAACAAATCATGCTAGTGAGCTCTCATGGTTTTAGGGGAAGAGAGATGCAAGGCCAACCCAAAAGCCACATGGTTTGTTCACATTCAATAGCTGCTCTGCGGTAGAAAGATGGGCAGGCCCCTCCCATGCTGTTTACTGCAGTTCCCTGTGTGTGAGTTTGGACTTGACGTACGCAACAACAGCAGTGTACTGAATGAGTGTTATGTCTGATAATTGATAAAAAACATCAGAATGATCTGAAAATATTCTTGTAGAAACTGTTTAATAGCACAATGACCATATCTTACATTTTAGCTGTTGCCCTAAAACTCAGATTTTCTGTAGTCCCTCATTTCTTTAAAAATGAAAAAAAACCACTAGTTTTTGTTTACAAGAAAATTCTCATTTTCTTAACTAAGAATTGCCATGAGATAGAACATGATCAGTTTGCTAAAAAATACATGCAGAAAATTTTGAACTGAGTAATATAAGCATACTTTGCAAAAAATCCATTAGAATAATATGTTCAGTCTTGCTGTTTGTCTTCTTGCTGTTTTAATCTGTATGGAATATCCCCTGCTAGATAGCTCAGTAGTCAAGGAGCTGCATTCACATAGACGTGTTCAAATATGTATGCGCATATGTATATTATAAAACAGGGTTTACAAATAAGACACCAAATAAATATTGATTGGCTCAATGAATATTCAACTAAATTCAGAAGCTAAATAGTTTTGTTCCTGACGGGAAAATTGTTTTAAGATCAAGAAGCATGCAGATTTTCTCAAATAGCAAATAAAAATAACTATACAATCTCCTGATTATCTCACACACTTGCTCTGAAATCCTGTTCCTTTATTTCCATTAACCCAGTGAAGCTTTGTGGAGCTTAAATCGAGGTCACTCTTTTATTTTGGTCTCTTGGATACAAAATGCTTTTCTAGGCACTGACCATTAAAAACATATTTGATCCATATTGTCTTGCCACTGATTTAATCAAGAATAAATAAATACTCTTGGTGGCTTTTGGATGTGGGAGTTTATTTAAGTGGAGAAACTGTTGAAAATAAAATTAGAAAAGGCCCCAGCATGAGAACTGGATGATAAGCCAAGTGCAAGAGTTTCAACATCTTTCATGCTGCTGTTGAACTGACATCTTCTCCACACTGTCTAGCACAATGAAACTTTCTGAGTGAGGGATCTTTTGAAAAATCTACTTTATATTTTTTTGCCCTGATGAA